CTTTTGGTTTAGATTTGACATTGGAGGATTCCTTAGCAATTACTTTAGTTGATCACTATCCGACAAAGACTCCCATGGGAGTTACTGCCGAGAATTTAGCCAAAATATATAAGATCACTCGTGAACAAGCTGATGAATATGCTTTAAGTAGTCAAAAACGTTGGGCTGCTGGTAAATATATAATATTTATTGTAAAATTCACAATATGTATTTATTTTATTAATACGTATGCATTTATATATATTACTATTAATAATAATATTATTAATAGCAAATGAGGCAGGATATTTTGAAAATGAAATTGTACCAATTGAACTTAAATTACGTAAAGGCCAAATAAAAGTATTCAAGACTGATGAACATCCACGTCCACAGACTGAAATTCAATCTTTACAAAAACTTTCTCCTGTGTTTATCAAAGATACTGGCACTGTGACAGCTGGTAATGCATCAGGTATTAGTGATGGAGCTGGTGCAGTGGTTGTAGCATCAGAATCAGCTGTTGAAGAACATAAATTAACACCTTTAGCAAGAATTGTTAGCTACCATGTTTCTGGAGTTGAACCCACAATTATGGGAATCGGTCCTGTGCCTGCTATCAAAAATGCATTAGATAAATCTGGCTTGAAATTGAGTAACATGGATTTGATTGAAGTTAATGAGGCTTTTGCTGCTCAATATTTAGCTGTTGAAAAGGAATTAGGATTGGACAGAAGTATCACTAATACGAATGGAGGTAAAATAATAATAATAATTTTTGACCTAATTAGTTAATTAATTAATTAATACTAATGACAATAATAAAATTATTATATATTTAGGCGGTAAGTTTGTTTATTAATATAAACTTATAACCGATTTATTAATAGATTCATTCATTTTATATTTTTTACTAAAATATTGTTTTTTTAAATATAGCTATTTCACTTGGACATCCACTTGCTGCGTCAGGATCAAGAATATTGGCACATTTAATAAATGAACTCCACAGAACCAATAAAAAGTATGGGTTAGGATCTGCTTGTATTGGTGGTGGTCAAGGTAAAATAAATAAATTAAATTAAACAATTTAATATTTATTAATTATTAATTTATTTGGTTGGTATTGTTTAGGCATTGCAATGATAATTGAACGTGTTTAAATATTTAGATTATATATAAATATTAGAATTCTTTGTATTTAATTTAAAAATATAA